TATATATATAGATATATATATATATATATATATGAGTTAATCACCTATACACTATCAGTATAAATTTTTTTTACACCGGTAACCAATTATATCTCTTAATTGTGTTATGTCACTGTAAACATATTTACTTTTATCAGTGACATGACACAATTAAGAGATATAATTGGTTTTCAGTGTAAAAACACTTTACATTGACAATGTATAGGTAATTAACTCTCTCTATATATATATATATATATATATATTTCAACCATAACAGATATCGCACCCGTTTACCTTATTTCTTAAAAAAAATATAGAAAAAACCTGTCATGGCGGTATTTAACATCTAATTAAAAATAGTAATAGTTAGTGACATCATGGATGAGCACTTAGAAATTAATTTTGTTTGACAAAGGAAATGGAAGAGTTGACAAGGAACGTCTTATCTTGACTATTAAAATTTTGTTTTCACTTGTGTGGCTGCTAATTAAATCACAATATAGGTTTCGTGGATTCATACACATCACATCATAGGTTTGCCTTTGCTAAACTTTCTTTCGTTTCCTTGGGTTAGTTTCATTAAAAGTAAACTGATATGTAGCTATTTGCATTGTAGAAAAACTATGAGTTCCCAAGGTGTCGCTGAAGATTGCGTAGGATGGGCTGCAAGAGATGAATCCGGAGTTCTATCACCTCACAAATTCAGCCGCAGGTTCAGTGATTGTTTTCTATAAATGATCATTTAATTATTTCATGGCTTCTACATGAAAACGAAACAACCCCTTTTTGGGATAAAATTGAGTTACTCTTTTTAATGCTTCATTGTGCATTGTTATGATGGAGGATAGTGGACAACATAATGTGGTTAGCCAGAACAAACATGTCATTCAGGTTCCTTTGCAGTTTAGGGACAATTAGTAATATATAGGTGTAGTTGGGAAGAGGTGAGGGGGGTGAACAGTTTAGTTTTTCTCTGTTGTAGTTCCTCTTTCTCTCTCTATTACTTTCTAAATTTGTACTGCACTTTCTTGTATTTTTCTGGTGTAATTCCTCTCAAACAAGGCTAAAATTTATAATTGAATATAACTAATTGGAGGAATTCTTCCCCTCCCTATTGATCAAGCATTCAACTCTGTCAAAAAAATTTGATTTAACAGGAATCGTTACATTTGGTGCTTTCATTCTCTCCAATGGCAAAGAACACAAGACTTAAGGACTCACAAACTGACGTGAAGAAGGCATTTGATGCCATTGATGCACAAGATCGTAAGGGGTTGAAATTGGTAATAGAATGTCTCGGGTTGAATCGCAACTAATAGGAATTCAACAATCATTGGACCGACTCACACTCAATTTTGCCTCCATGCCTACTACTTTTTCGATTGGAGTGAAGAACTCTGCTGTTATGTCCAAGAATTCTTATTTGGTTCCATCTCTTCAGATGCGTCATGTGAAGTTGGATTTTCCAAAATTTGATGGGTCCGATCCTCTTGATTGGCTTTCAAAGCGAAGCAATATTTTTCATACTATAACACCTCTTATGCGGATCATTTAACGATTACTGCCGTTCATTTTCAAGGCTTGGTTATTCCATGGTTCCAAATGCTCCAACGAGTGAAACAACTATCATCGTGGTCTGCCTTGGCCACTGCCATTGAAGCACAGTTTGGTCCTTCCCCATTTCACAGTGCACGTACCAAGCTCTTTAAATTGGCACAAACTTCTTCCATTTCAAATTACTACAACGAATTCATGCTACTCGCTAATCAGAGTGAAGGACTTACCGATGAAGCGTTACTCGATTATTTTATCAGGGGGTTGAAAGACTCGATACGACGGGAGGTTTTAGCCAAGGGAACTCTCAATTTGCTTAAGGAAGTTACACTTTATCTTTTCTCTCTTTCCCTATCATTTTCTAGGCATTGTTTAGGCGGCTTTAAAGTGTTTAATCTTGAGTACAAGAGTTTAAACATATCGTTATATAAACCTTAGGAAACAAACCAATTATTAGGTTGTATCAGTGATTCACCTAAAATTGGTTTTGGGGCACTGGTTCGTTGACATGATGACACAACTTTGACTCTCCTATCTTTCTTATAGACATATAACATGGATATGTTCATGAGGGTGGTTAACATTGAACAAATCAAATGGATCCTCAAGAAGCACATTGAGGAGGATTTTCGTTATGGAGATTTACAGGGATTGTTCACAGAAGAAACTCTTCTTATCACAAAAGGAATACGTTCCTAAAATAAGTCTCATTTTGGAATGGACAAAGCTATACCTTTAAGTACTCCCTCACTAAACAATACATGTCTATTTTTGGCTTTTGTTCCTACAACAACCAAATTTGGAGTATATGTGTCGGTTTTCATATGCTGGTCCGATTGGAAGTCTTATCTATGCAATGGTATTCACAAAACTGAATGTTGCACACATTGATAGTGTGGTGAGTAGGTTTCTGAGTCAACTAGGAAAGGAACATCGGCTGGTTACATAGCATATCTATTGTTATTCGACATTTACATCAACTGGTTGGCTTATACATAGAGCTAACACATGGTGTATATATCTTGATAGGTATTCAGATTTAGATTAAATTGTTGATTAGGATGCTAGAAGGTCAATTACCATGATTGGCTGGGAGAGATACGCCACCGTGTATTTTTTATTTTTTAATACTTCGTTAAAACTTAACCAATTAATATAAAAGGCCTCTTATTTTTTACATTGATGGCTTCAACATCAATTTTATAATAGATGTAGAAGCCCTAAATGTAGAGTCTCTTATTTTTTACATGATGATTTCTACATATAGATTCTATAACCAATGTAGAATACAAGTTTTTACCGATATAAAATTCCTCATTGTACCCATGCTATGATTATTTTCATAGTTTCGTGTGTTTATAGAAATAGATCGATCATCATGATTATGGATTCTTAATGATCTTTATTTCTATTGCTAATCAAAGTGGGTATTATATGTATAAGAAATTAGAAATAGTAATTTAAGTAAAAAGATCTTGAATCAAGAAAATAATCTTAGTGTAATTTTGTAGATCTTAATTACAATTTCATGAAGAAAAAAAAAAGGAAGTAGATACTTATCCTAGCTGCTTTATAAGTCTTGAATTTTAGTGAATTTCGCTATATATATTACTCTTGTAATATTTATCTTATATCAGTTTTAGTTTCTTTTTGACTAAATTATTAGTATTGCTCAAACAGTTTTGATTTAGATGTAGATTATAATTGTACCAATTATTGTAACAATATTTTAAATTTCATTACTTGAAATACTTTGTGTGTTCTAATTTTGAAATATTTTAAATATTTCAATATTTTATTCTCTTTATAGAAAATATGCATTGATGTCAATCATGTTCCTGATCATAGTTCTTATTGCCAGCTGTATTGCTATCTGTTAACAGACTAAGTCAAAAATTCTTGTAACGATGATCAAATTTTAAAATTGAAATCTTTTTATACATGGTTTTGTTTTTTCTCTTCAATATAAAACATCAGCTAGCATTGACTTATGGTCATTGTTAAGGAGAAAATAATTTTATTCTTAACGGGTTCTCCACAATCATGCAACTTTGTTTTCCTTATACTATTTACTATTTAGCTAGCTGCATGCATGTTAGTGTATATTAATGGTTTCAAGGTATATTATTATGTTCTTAAATGTTACATTTCCCAGAATATATTGGTTTGGAATATTATTTCTGAGTGTAATTAAGAATACGATTGGTTAAAATTTAATTGATAAAACAAATATCAGATTATATAAAAATATTTCTTATATTAATACTATAAAATATTAGCACAGCGCTATCACTTACCAAAATCAAACTAAACATGAAAATGCCACTTTAGTTTCATGAGAACCAATAATAACTGACGTATACATTTTTTTATTCGAAACTTATATCGAATATGAGAATGAGAGATATCTATCTAATTCTCTCAAGAATAACTTCACATTAACGAAAACACTCTTAAGTTGCATAGAAAAGCTAAAGGAAAAGGGTTGTAAAAGAACATGAATATATATATATATATATTGTTTAGGTATAAAAACTATTAAATGCTTATCTGTCAAAGCTATGAAAAAACAGTACGAAAATACAGCATATGCATACACGAGTAAAATGATGAACTCACAGTTCTCGGTTATCAGGAAAAATAGGGTGACATATATGGGTTACTGTTGCATATGATATATATGTTGGATAATCTTAAATTTCTAGAGATATCCGAGATATCCGAGATATTCGAGATATCCAAGATATCCGGGATATCCGATTTAGTTATCTGGAATTATTTGATTTTGAGTTATTTGGTTTCAGATTAGATAAGATAGTTTTTTGGTAAGTTTTGATTTGATAAGATATTTTATTATCTTCTTGTTAATTCAGTACGACACTTTATCTTTTCTCTCTTTCCCTATCATTTTCTAGGCATTGTTTAGGCGGCTTTAAAGTGTTTAATCTTGAGTACAAGAGTTTAAACATATCGTTATATAAACCTTAGGAAACAAACCAATTATTAGGTTGTATCAGTGATTCACCTAAAATTGGTTTTGGGGCACTGGTTCGTTGACATGATGACACAACTTTGACTCTCCTATCTTTCTTATAGACATATAACATGGATATGTTCATGAGGGTGGTTAACATTGAACAAATCAAATGGATCCTCAAGAAGCACATTGAGGAGGATTTTCGTTATGGAGATTTACAGGGATTGTTCACAGAAGAAACTCTTCTTATCACAAAAGGAATACGTTCCTAAAATAAGTCTCATTTTGGAATGGACAAAGCTATACCTTTAAGTACTCCCTCACTAAACAATACATGTCTATTTTTGGCTTTTGTTCCTACAACAACCAAATTTGGAGTATATGTGTCGGTTTTCATATGCTGGTCCGATTGGAAGTCTTATCTATGCAATGGTATTCACAAAACTGAATGTTGCACACATTGATAGTGTGGTGAGTAGGTTTCTGAGTCAACTAGGAAAGGAACATCGGCTGGTTACATAGCATATCTATTGTTATTCGACATTTACATCAACTGGTTGGCTTATACATAGAGCTAACACATGGTGTATATATCTTGATAGGTATTCAGATTTAGATTAAATTGTTGATTAGGATGCTAGAAGGTCAATTACCATGATTGGCTGGGAGAGATACGCCACCGTGTATTTTTTATTTTTTAATACTTCGTTAAAACTTAACCAATTAATATAAAAGGCCTCTTATTTTTTACATTGATGGCTTCAACATCAATTTTATAATAGATGTAGAAGCCCTAAATGTAGAGTCTCTTATTTTTTACATGATGATTTCTACATATAGATTCTATAACCAATGTAGAATACAAGTTTTTACCGATATAAAATTCCTCATTGTACCCATGCTATGATTATTTTCATAGTTTCGTGTGTTTATAGAAATAGATCGATCATCATGATTATGGATTCTTAATGATCTTTATTTCTATTGCTAATCAAAGTGGGTATTATATGTATAAGAAATTAGAAATAGTAATTTAAGTAAAAAGATCTTGAATCAAGAAAATAATCTTAGTGTAATTTTGTAGATCTTAATTACAATTTCATGAAGAAAAAAAAAAGGAAGTAGATACTTATCCTAGCTGCTTTATAAGTCTTGAATTTTAGTGAATTTCGCTATATATATTACTCTTGTAATATTTATCGGACTACTTCAATTTTAGAACTTAGACTACACACTTAACAACTGGCCTCTTTTTTAAATAAATTTCTTGACAATATGATAGTGATGATTGCTCAGGGCTCTTGGAAATGAAGATCTTCATATTAAAATTACACACTGTGGTGTTTGTTATGCTGATGTAGTTTGGACAAGGAATTTACATCGCGACTCAATGTACCCCGTTGTGCCTGGGTATGTGGCCTTATTTTTCTGTTTGGATGAGAAATTGAGAACCCTATATACTTGAGCTAATAATCTATCTTTGGTTCAGTCATGAGATTGCTGGGATTGTCACAAAGGTTGGCTCCAATGTCCACAGTTTCAATGTTGGTGACCATGTTGGAGTGGGGACTTATGTTAGCTCATGTAGGGATTGTGAGTATTGTAATGACAGGCTAGAAGTTCATTGTACCAAAGGATCAGTTTACACTTTTAACGGTGTTGATTTTGATGGTACAATTACAAAAGGAGGATACTCGAGTTACATAGTAGTCCATGAGAGGTAAACTTAATACATGGCCATACTATTATGAGTTTTATGAGGTCTTCTCTTCCTTCATTTTATCATAAGCTCTAAAAGTACTTTTGAGTTCATATCAAGAATCTGGTTGGATAAACTTTTCCCTAAGCACTTCTAAGAGAAAAAAATAGGAAGAAAAATTGAAATAATTTTTCCTGTATACTAAAACTAGCTTATAAACAAGTTAAAAATAAGATTTTATAAAGCTTTTCAAACTAGCTTAATTATAAGCTAATTTCAGTTTATGGAAAAATTTATTTTTATTTTTTCTTTCTTATCTTTTCTTTACTAGAAGTGATTATGAAGAAATTTATCTAAATATGTCCTAAAAAAAGTTACTAGTTATAACTCCGGTTCATAGCATATTTAATCATGCATCTGCAGGTATTGCTTCATGATCCCAAAAAGCTATCCATTGGCTTCAGCAGCTCCTTTGCTTTGTGCCGGAATTACTGTTTATTCACCGATGGTGCGCCACAAGATGAATCAACCTGGTAAATCTCTAGGAGTGATTGGTCTTGGTGGCCTCGGTCATATGGCAGTGAAATTTGGAAAGGCATTTGGTTTGAGTGTAACAGTTTTCAGCACTAGCATATCCAAGGAAGAGGAGGCACTGAGCCTGCTTGGTGCAGACAAATTTGTTGTTTCATCTAACCAAGAAGAAATGACGGTAAGTATAACATGAAGCATCTAATCTAATGCTACTACGTAAGATTTTCTTCAGACCATGAACAGAACACTGATATTCAGAGAATCATCATGCTTCCTTGTTGTCAAAATTAATGGTGATTCCCGTACAGGCGTTGGCTAAATCATTGGACTTTATAATTGACACAGCATCTGGTGATCACCCGTTTGATCCTTATTTGTCACTTTTGAAGACATATGGTGTTTTTGTCCTAGTTGGTGTCCCTAGTGAAGTCAAATTCAGCCCTGTAAGTCTTGTTATAGGTATGTTGCTTTTGAAGCATAGAAGGTTTGTTAAAATTATCAGTTTTAATTCGTGTAATTCTATTCATTGAAGCAGTGGAACTGTAAATATGAATTTTCTGTTTGACAGGATCGAAGACTGTTGCGGGAAGCATTACAGGTGGTACAAAAGATATACAAGAGATGATTGACTTCTGTGCTGCCAATGGAATTTACCCAAATATAGAGCTCATTCCAATAGAGTACGCCAATGAAGCTCTCGAGAGGCTCATAAATAAGGATGTCAAATATCGGTTTGTAATAGACATTGAGAACTCCCTAAAATAATACTAGAGAAAAATGGACATGATTGGACTACACCTTGTTCGATAAATAATGATGCTCTCCTTGGTATGCGAGTATCAGTTAGTTCCACACATTTAAGCCTATATGTTGCTGATAGTTAAGTAGTTTTGGTTTTTGTCAACAGTTATCTCATACTAGTATCTCTAAGTGTTGTTACACAGAGGAGTATCGCGCTCTGGTGGAAGAAGCATCGAAATGAAAGAAGAAGGAGAAATTTAAGATTATGGGGGAGTTTTGTTGGATAATCTTAAATTTCTAGAGATATCCGAGATATCCGAGATATTCGAGATATCCAAGATATCCGGGATATCCGATTTAGTTATCTGGAATTATTTGATTTTGAGTTATTTGGTTTCAGATTAGATAAGATAGTTTTTTGGTAAGTTTTGATTTGATAAGATATTTTATTATCTTCTTGTTAATTCAGTACGTTGTACAATGGCTATTTAAAGGCCATCTCTTATTCAATAAAAATCACAGTGAGTTGCTACGATCACCCACAATTTTAGTGTTACTCGTCTCTCTTAGTTTTTCTACAATATATGCTTTAATTAAACTATAATAAAATATATAAAAAAGCTTAGACTGTCAAGATATCAGAATTATAAATTGGTCAAACTTATCCATCACTCTATAAAGTAAATAAAAGGAGACAGATAATAAGAATAAGAGAAAGGTCACTAATTACTATTAGCTACGTTTGTAAGTAATTTCGCTTTTACATGCACACATAGAAAAAGATAAAGCAAAAGATATTTGTACGGAAATATATACCTTGAACTTGCGTACTCGAAGAGCTTGCTGGTTGCAGAAAAGACTATTAGAGCAATTTCAGCATCACAAAGAGTTGACAGCTCCTGAGCCTTCTTGAAAAGACCTTTCCTTCTCTTTGAGAATGTCACCTGCCTCGCGTTTATGTTGTCGATCTTCTTGATCGGTATCTTCTTTCTCGCCATTCTATTCATACAATCATAATCATCACCCAAATTCCAACTCAATATGGACATATAGCTATGTATCAAAGTTAAAGACATTACATGTAAATGTAAATGACGATTTTGCGATAATTATATGATCTACATTGCGATGACTAAAATTGTCGTAAAGATACTATTGTGACGGTTCATCAACTGTTGCAGAAATATCCGTCATGAGTGAATTTTGCGACAGTTACTGGAATCATTGCACAAACCGTCGGAAAATTAGAATTGCGACTCTTATAACATCCGTCGCATTAACTGCCTATAAATCAGTCGTTAAATATTTATTTTTTATTTTATTAAATTTTTTAGACGTCTCAAATTTGATTTCTATTCTTCTCAAGGATTCTATTTCACAATACTTCACTTTTTAACATTTTTCTCCTTACTTACACAGTTTCTTTCAGAGTTCACTTTATTTACGATCAAAAAAAGAAGATTTCTGTGAATAATTGTATGACAGATGCAAGGACATTAATAATGCTAGATTAGTGTTTAAATTCTACTTTATTTACGATTTAAAATAAATAAGAATTAAGTGTTAAAATTGACTAAATTAATTAGTTGGTATATATATAAAGAAAAATTTTAAGATAATAAAAAAAGAAAAAAAATGTGATCACTGATGTAATGAGAAAGAAATATATGAGAAAAAAATGTGGTAAAATGAGAAATGGAAGATAACTAGATAGATATCTTTATGTCTTGTGTTTTCCATGGACTCCCTATTAAAAGTACCTTATACATTAGCAATTCCCTTAATATGTTTCAATCACATAGATAAAAAGTATAACCCCTAGCTAATGTTATTTTCTTACATTATAGTTAATGTATCAATCTTTTATAGCAATCACATAGATATAAGAAAAATAAAAAAAAAATTATAATCCCTTATGTAGGAAAACTTTAACTGTAAAGTAAAGTACTTGAACTAATGTTTTTTGTCAAATTATTGTTAGTCATTTTCCAACATGTGTTTTTGTTAAAATTTCCATTTTATCTAGAAGATTATGGTAAAACTTGAGACGCATGCCAAGTTAAATTGATTAGTATGAAACTATTAGTTTTGACAATTTTCACCATAAATATATACATACTTATATTTTTCCGAAGCCTTCAAAAATGAGTTAGAGTTCAAGAAGCACGAAGTAATTAAAAGAGTGTTAGAGGTTCTCTTCCGAATTAATTTTATAACTCTAAGAAAGATTAAAGTTGTGGATTTTGTTGTCTTGGAATTATTTGCTGAATTATTTGCTGTAAAGTAACAATTATTTGCTGAATTAAAATCAAAGAATTAATATGTTGTCTTCAAATTTTTGTTGAAATAATATTTTTTATTTTTTTTAGGAGAAATATAAGGAGCGTCTAATTGAAGTCAAGCAACAAGCTACACAGGATGACATAGAGGGCTCTACTTCTACTTGTATTAGTGATAATGAAGTTTATTTGCAGGTGGTTAAAAAGAATACGAAGGGAAACTTGTATGGGCTTGCTGGATTGACCGATGATTTCATTCGCTCAACACTTCCACAATCTTCTATGTCACAGTCATCACCAGTCACTGCAGGGGTGATAGAAGAAATGCAAAATAGGATAACTAAATTAAATGCTGAGCTTGCTGCAAAGGAAGCAAAGGAAAAAACATTGGAAGAACATATACGAAAACATGATGAGCAGATGCAGTATATACTACGCAATCTCAACATTGACCCTTTAAGGCCAACCCCTCCTCCACCGAGTACTACCCCAGATGATCCTGACCATGGTGTTGATGATGCTCTTGATGAGATAGCAGAAGACCCGTAATTAAGCTTCTTTATTTTACTTGTTTCAGGATATTTTATTGTATTTTCACTATTACTTTGTTGAAGTTTAAACGTTTTATGTTATTATTGTGTTTTTAGCATACCATATTGACATACTTATATTTTATTTAGTTTTCACTATAATATAAATTTACATCGATGAGATTATGTCTTTTAGTATGTTCTAGTTTATTATTATAAATTATGTAATAAATATATTGTTAATTTGATATTCGTTAACAGGTATAAATTTATAATTTAAAAAGAATTTAAAAATACTGGTTAGCATTAGCGATTGAAATAGCTACCAAGATGAACTGTGGCTATTTCAAGTGTTTAGCGACCGAAATAGCGACAAAAAAAAAATTTGTAGCTAATTCAAGGTTTTAGCGACCGAAATAGTGACTGAAATAATTCGTAGCTATTTCAAGATTTAGCGACCGAAATAGCGACCAAAAGAATGCGTAGCTAATTCAAGGTTTTAGCGACCGAAATAATCCGTAGCTATTTCACGATTTAGCGACCGAAATAGCGACCAAATTTAGTCGTAGCTATTTCAGGTTTTAGCGACTGATTTAGCGACCGATTTTAAAAATCTTTTTTTAAATAAATAAAAAAATTTAGCGACGGAATTTGCAACCAAAAAATTCGGTCGCAAAATTGGTCTCGAGAAGTTAGGAGACCAAAATTTTAGCGACGGATTTTTAATGTATAGCGACTAATTTTTCGGTTGCTAGCTTGCGACGGAAAAATTTTGGTTGCTATTTAAAATAGCAACCAGGGTTTTAGCGAAGGATTTTTTCGGTCTCTATTTCGGTCGTTGAATGTAATAGCGATTGAATTTACCTAAATAGCGACCAACGATTTTGGTGATCGCTAAAACTTGATTTTTTTGTAGTGATATTTAACATAGATATTTATGTTTTCTTTTTTGAAAACATTAATATCTATGTTAAATGTGACCATCAATATCATTAATGTAAGTTATTTAATTGTTTGTTAAATTATTACCTATAGAATTTAAGAATAATAATAAATGTATTACTTTTGGATATAATTTTACTAAAATAATTCACTATTTTAATAAATGCATTACTTTTAATTGTGGTAGTTGAATAATATATGAAGGTGCAAATTAAGGGGGAAAAAATGAGCAAAGAATATCATTTATTTTAAAACTTGTTTTAAATGTTAAAAATACTGCTATATTGGGACCAATGAGAAGTATAACTAAGTATATTAAATTTGGTTACATTTAACATCTAGTAAGTTTAAATTTAACTTTTAATTATCAGTTTTGAAACACTTTATAAATTATATCTTCCAATTTATTTTAGACTAACGTTTTTTAGGGCTAACTCTTTTTAGGGGAGGGAACAACGATAATAACTTCATATAATAGATTTACAATTTTGATATCAAATTTAATATCATGAAAATATTTCTTATAATTTTATTTCATAATTAATTTATAATAAAATCTTATTATGAATGTGTTTATAATCTCTTTATTGACTAGAAAATAGTTTATTGAATTTTCTCCCTGTTTGGACTAATATTTTTTAAGGAAAAAATTGTTTTAATGTTAATAACTTTATATAATAAGATACAAGAGAATATATATATATATATA